TCGCGCAACGTATTTCCGTGATTGAAAACCTCGATATAATGTAGGAAATGTAATTATTATACAGAAACGTTGCTGTTATCATAAAGTAAATATTTAAGAGAACACAACACGATTTGGAGCATAATAATAATAGGAATGAAAAATAGATAAAGCTAAATCAGAAAAAAAGAGAAAGGCAAATCTTTTTCGGCATCGTCGAATAATTTCAGATTAATAATAACATTAATAATTCAGAAAATGTATTGGCAAAATTATTACGTAGTTAATAACGTCTAGTTTCGGTTGAAAGGGCGACGTTCGTTTGATTGCCCCAATGCATAATTTAATGCAGCCTGGACGTAAGGAATTTCTCCACTTTTCGCGAACGCTTTCAACGGCAAGATGAATAATTAAATGAATAATTAGGCGAACGGCGGAACAGCGGGGTAAAGTGAAGTAATCCTGAATCTTGCCCGTTTAAGTGTAACGAGTTTAAAACTCGGTATAACAATTTGCATTTGCTTAGCATAATCCATCATGATGCATATTGACCGGTCATACGGGAATTTTATCCATTAAACATCGATATCTCATATCGGCGAGACGTCGTCGGCGATTTCTCTGCGATCTTACGGTCAAAATTGTCTCCTCGGAACCGTCTAAGAGAACGTCGAATGAAACTAATCGAGAGATATTTTATGAAGGACCGATTCAATTAAAAAACCTTATCTTTTGTATGTCAAAAATACCTGAAACGAAGTATCGTAATTATATCTCTAAGAGAAATGGTTTGTTCGTGCGAACACGCGTATGTAAAAGTTCTGTGCGATTCATATTCCATATATCTATAAAAATGTATCGTTGACGGCTGGGCGGATGAAAGTTTGAATCGCGGTTTTGTATCGCTCGGTTTTCTGCGTGCAAACCTCAATCCTGAAAAATTAATTTCTGCTCGTTCGGAGCATTCACGAGCATTCAGAAAGGGGCGATTAACCGGGAAGGGACTCCCTCTATCTCTCTCTATGTTTCTCTTTTTCTCTTTACCTATCTTTGTCTCCGCGTATATACATTGCGTTTTGATTGTACGCCATTGTGCCCAGCAGAAGCAGCTATGCAGAAGGAACACCCTTCGAACACCCGCATGTTCGAAATACCCGTTATAAAGCTCGCGAGACACGCGAGCACGACCGTAAATTCTATTCTGCCGACGAAAATCGAAACGCAGAGATTGGCGATGCGCCAGAGAGCGCGTCAAGTCCCTTCGTCTCTCTCGCGATTCCAGCGCGATGCGCGCCGGAATAACTCACGCGGCCGCGACCACTCGCGGATACCTCGCAATTATTTGCATTTCTTCCGCGTAATTCACCCCCTTCGCGACGTAGCGTCTCGTCGCCGCGCGCATCGCTGCGACATCGTCGTCCGCATATTCCGCGCGAATATTTCACTCTCCCGCGCTTCGACGCCGCCCCGTTCGCGCGACACTTCCCGAGATACACAGAGTGCTCCTCTACAGCAGCAACACCTTCCAGCGAATGCAGATATTCCCGGTAACGCGAAATCGAATTTTCCTCGCTAAGAGTCCAATTGGACACCGTGCTTTTCCGCATCTCTGCGCCTCCCCGTCGCCGTAGAATGCCTTGATAAGTCCCGAGGGAATCTTTGTCGGCGCTTGTTAAACTCGACCTAACTATATTCATGGTGTCGACGTTACCGAGGATCAAGATTACGGAAGGTATCCACGAATGCCACGGTGGAAGCAACCCCTTTTACTTGCTCGCTCTCTCTCTCTCTCTCTCTTTCTCGACCGCTCGACTCGAGGACCGTGTCTACTCCTCGAGGTCGAAACAAATGACACTCTTCGCGCATGCCAAGCTCCTGGGGAATTTGTAGTCGGGGAAGAAAGACGCGCACACGAGAGGTGTCCGCGGCACACCCCGTACATTCGGCACGCGGGGGTAGATTCACTCGGCGAGAACTATCAGCCAACGGCGGTATTAAATTTCCGAATTTACGCCGCACATCCTCCGGCTATCGATCGGATACGCGCGACCTATCATCCGCGCCTTTGCGCCGCACGCGAGCAAGAGAATATTTCCCTAGAATATTATTAGCGCGAGAGCTTCGTCGGGTTGTTAACCGCCTCTCCTCTCGCTCCCGCCAGCACCGGCGGGCGCAGCGTGCAGCAACACCACCGACTCGAATTTACTGCGCGCCGACTGCACTTCGGGCGATTTATACTTCGGCGCACGAGCGACGGCGATACCTGCACGTCGGCCACGTTGAATTACGACGTCAGAACGGAGGAAACGTTGTTCGCAGTTTACGTTCGTTCGAACGGATGATTCCGAGCGGACGGCGCTATTAGTGCTCGATGGACCGGAAGAATTATTACTACTTTGTATCGCGTATCGCTTCGTCATGCGAATATTTGCTTCCCGGTAAGAACGGACGATACGGTATCTGTACTTCAAATATCAATACTTTTGGGTTCCGATATGTTGGTATTTTATATATATATATATATATATATATATATTTAATGCATAGAATGCACTTGATAATAGAAATATTAACAGTATCGATACATACTATTAGATATTTTTGGTCTATCGATTTTACTTAGTGATACGTAACGACACGAAATATCGATATTTTGTATCGCCCATCCCTAATTATCCGGCTCGTCTCGGTACGACTAAGGAAATTCGTACAAAGCAGGGGACACCTCCCGGTCTCCACAAAGCAAATTACTTTATGGCCGAGCAAGTAATTAAGACGAAAATCAAAGGGAGAGACGAGGGTGAGTAATTTCACCTTCTCGAGATAATATCAAATAACAGACGATCATAAAGATTATCATCTTGAATTTTCTTTTTTTCCTCTTCCGTCTTCTCCTCTTTCACCATAACGACAATGCGCGTTTAAAATTGTACGACATTGCGGGACGATCGTTATGAGACGGATCGTAATACCGCATCCCAGATAGATACCGTGCGATTTTCCATGCGGCCAAGTTTTTCCTTTCTTACCCGCGAACGAGATCGGCGGGGAACGTAAGCTTTCATTACGGCGCACGACAAACTCAGAGGGAAACCGCGTTCTTCCAGGAAACAGAGCGCGAATGGAAACGTCGTCTCAGCGGGAGTTTTTACGAGACCATTTTCCTGACCGCACATCATGTTTAACTTGCCAACTAGATACGCCTCGCGTCGATTTTGCTACCACCACCACCCTCACGACATCATCATGTCTGTGTGTGTGTGTTTATATGTGTGCTCTTTATGCGATTTATATCCCGTTCCTTAATTACAAGCGCGCGCCGGGATTACCGGTCCGAGGTACTGCGGATTAATTGGATTATCGACCGTCCTTGAATGTAATGCTTTCCCCCGGAAACAAAGATCGATGCTCTTCGCGGACCAAGTCGTAAGAACGACTCGTCGCGCCGCGGCGCGATGTATCGACGACTGCGCTCAAGTCGAAGGCGTGGGAGTACGAGGAGGAAAGAGCCCGTGATTAAAATGTCCAATAAAGTGATAAGAAAAAAGATCGGATTTCAGTAAATCGCTGGAAGGGATCCCGAACGGCGGCTGTAATAAAGACCGAACAAACTACTGTGAAATAGGATCGCCGTAATCTCCGTAATAAACAGGGCCGAGAAAGCACGCGGGGTGAGACGCAAAAATAATAAAAATTATAATTTGTAAAAATATTGCGCTCCGAATAATGTCGGTCGGTCTCTCTCTCTCTCTCTCTCTCTCTCTCTCGCGCGCGCGCGCGCGTTCAACATGACAAAAATTTTTGCACGCGCTCGACTGTACTCGCTACTACGTGCGCGCCGCTTTATACTTCTGCTTATTGTTTTTGCTTGTTTTTCTTCTCTCCGGAGGAAAGAAATAAAATCGTTGCTTTCGCACGGTTCGCTATTATTGCGTTCCGTAATGTAACAAGCGATGCCATAATCGGTACGCTTACCGTCCGTGAACATCGCGGCACGGCGCGACGATTCGCAATAAACAGCGGTATTGTTAACACGAGCGCGGAGTTAATCAATCCTTTCGTTAAAGCCACCGCGAAAATCCGCGAGCGGCCGAGCGGCCAGCGGCGACTTTATCCTGAAAAGGTTTTAATACCTCTCCATTTTATTAAAATTTCTCGAAAGTTATGAATCCGCGATGAATAATATCACAGCTAGTCTTGCGTAATGAAAGTTTTTATTTCACAAAGCGAATGTTGAAATAAGCACGGACAATATAAGCGTTCACGAAATATCTGGTTACATTCAACCGTAACCGGTGCCGTCAGCCGCACAAAAGTGTTTACCAGTCGTGCCCAAAAACGCAAAATTAATTTATCTACGGCCGGACAAAGGATCATTTTTACCTTTCCCAAAAACGAGACAGCTGTTACCACTTGTGTTTCGTTTAATGGATGTAATCAGCGAGCGTGTAAAATTTTATTTTCGCGCGTTTTAACTTTGTTTTCTCTTTTTTTTTTTAGATAAAAGCGATTACTTTGTATTATTTTAACGTGGCCTGTGACACTATCATCGCTACCGTATCGCCGTCCCGGGAGAGCATCTCACGCGGAAAAACCATTTGCATTCTTCGCTTTTTACGTCGTGATGCGTGTCGTTAACGCGAGAAAAGTAAACTATGTGTAATCTCTCGCCTCTCACGTCGTAACTCACTGTTACAGCCGCGCCCTGGGACCTTAATAAGAAATTCTTTCGTACAATTTTACTCGAGGAGGCGGGAAGGCGGAAGAAACTTCATTCCTAATTCCTCGATGTTAACACGAAAATCCGGAGGATGCGAGTGCAGTCGCAGCCATATTGCCATTCGACTACCAAGTTCGCAGACACTGCGGCAATATCTGCGCAAATCTCTCTCTCTCTCTCTCTACTCTATTCTCTGTCTCTCTCGCATCGGGTCGGCTTGTTTGTGCACAAACTATTAGGCTAAACAGTCCAACGATCGTTTACGCCCACCGCGAGGGATTAATTAATCCTTTCATTAAAGCCGCTGCGGAAGACCACACGGATGCCGACTGCCTGATCGTGGTCGCAATGTCACACGGCGAATCGGGTCTATTGCATTCAACCGACAGCTTGTATCCAGTCGATATGCTGTGGACTCCTTTCACGGGCGATCGATGCTCCAGCCTGGCCGGGAAACCGAAGTTGTTCTTCATTCAGGTACGCTATCTGACAGGTGCGCCGTATACATCGCGGCGGATGAAACGTCCGAATCGCGCGAACCGTGCGCGTCCGCCGAACAATGACGATCACCCGCGCCGCGGGTTTCAAAGAACCGGACTCGCCCCCTCTCTCTATCTCTCTCTCCTTCTCTCTCGTACTCTCTCTTTCTCTTTCCCTCTTGCCTTCGCCGGCGAGCGAACGATCGCCCGTGATGGATCATTCCGAGCGAAACGTCTGAACGAGCCGTGTTACACGCTGAGCAATTCGCGCGCGGATTCGTACGGATCGCGTGGAGTGACGTATGAATTAACGAGCGAGCTCTGCATTGTGAGTACCGATCGAGCGTTCGAGTTAATCGTTGTTAATGATACACGTCGGTCGGCGAAATTTTCCCGGGAGAAACCCTTCGCGGGTCGCGAAAAGAGTCGGCTCACTCGGATCCACCTGTTTTCCGCTTTCTTTTGGAATTTTTCGATTTTTCAACCGCGGTGCATCGTTCCTCTCGTGTCCGGATGAAGTTCGACAGCTACGATTTCTGACGACGACGCGATGGCTCGCGAAGAGACTCGCGAGACTTCGTTCGATTAACTTTTTGAGCGCTGCAAACGAATATGTCCTACAAATTTCTTATAATCCCGACACGAATAATCGTTATCAACCGTCGCGATGGGCACTTATATTTATAGATGATTTAGAGATGTGCGAAAAGATTTGCGATGTCGAATCGAATTGAATCTCATTTTTTTATTTTCGAATCTGAATCGAATCGACGGAATTTCGCCCGAATCAAATGAAATCGAATTGAATCATTGGAACATAATTTCGAAATCAGCAAATTTTGTAATTAGATCACCCAAAGATTGATAATTTATGAGTAATGTGTCGGGTATAGTACTTATTATATATGCAGTTAGACATTTTCCGTGCTATCTACGCTGAGAAACTCATTTAGTTGAATAAACAAAATTCTCGTTTGGATATGACATCGCTATTTAAAAAAACGGGAGACAAAAGCGCAAAAAAAAGATAATTACGTTTCCTGGTTGCTTCTGATATACGATATTTTTGCCGTGTGCGACAGATATAAATTCAGTTAGCCGGGAATGCGATTGCGTGTCTCACATGCTCGGAACGTGACGGTAAGAAAGGATATCCGTGTCGGTTATCCCGCTCAGTTGAAAAACGGAAAAAGATCATTACTCTGCTTTATAAAATTTGATGTATAGGATGTAACTTGGAACTACCGCCGTTATTTGTTGCTCGCCTTAATACGTTTCAAGTAGGAGAATCTAAAGTAGATGTCGCGTAGATGTATTTTGATCAACTTCGAACTTGCTTGTTTTGCACTGTAGAAGAGAAGATGGTATCTTTGTAAATATTATGGCTCTCTTTAATATCTTCGTTATTAGATGACAAATTCTGGCGATTACCTATGGAATCATTTGTTTAGTTAACGATTATTTATAGAATCATCTGTTTAGTAGTCACACAATGGCGCTAATATGCCAATACACAATAGCCGGTATTTCTTATAACGCATTTCTACTTTCGAGCATTTGGAAACATTCTCTAAATATATTTTAACATTTAAATACATATTTTCATATTCTTCTTTATTCTTTTTCATTCAAACTTGTGTATATATTATCACACAAATATACGTACACTTGAGTGTTTTGTTCGTTATTTATCATTTTATTCCGCTGTATACATTTCGAGTTATGCGAAGTTAAACAATAACAATAAAAGGCATTTTTACTAATTTGGCCCCCCACCAAAATAGATTTAATATGATCTTCTTTTCGTGGCTTTCATGTCAAAATAGTTATTCGATAAGTCAATAACTCAAGTTAGATTAAAAAGTTTATTCGTTTTATAAAAATTGTTCTTTTGACAGGTTGCATTTACCTTCAGAACGAAATCAATATTGACGTTAAAAATTCATGGTTGTATTCATTGTTATTTCTCTTAACACTTCAACGATCGCAATATCTATGAGATACACGTTCTAACTTTGAAATAACGCTGCAGTCAAACCGTAAACAGCTGAATCACGTTTCCCTCTATGTATCCACCTCTCTTTACCTCTTCAATATTGTTATGGCTACGACGTGATGCATTTACGGGACGGCAATTTGTATTTATTTATTTATTTATTTATTTATTTATTTATAGGAAATATCCTTCTGATACAAGTTTGACAAATAAACAATACAGAAAAAGAAAAAATAATAATAAGAGAAAAAATAATATTTGTTATAAACGTGCCGAGCGTTTTACATAAGTTTCCTAAATTATTTTTTTTTCAATTTTATTTTAATCAGTTAAACTAACTTTCTATTTTTGAGTATTCAAAAATGCATCCTTCTGTGCGAGGAAAACAACTATGCAAAATCATAATTTAATTTACACTCCGATGGTCGTATGAATCTCTTTGATATTACTATATTCTATTTATTATTATATTTTTTTTATTCTCTAACCGAATTAATTAATTAAATTAACTTTTTTTAATATTCATAAATGAATTCTTCCGTTCATGAAAAACAACTGCGCAAAACTATAACTTAACTAATTCAACTAGAATATGATAGTATCTGAGAGATACGTGCTATCGTTGATGTAATTTGTCGACCGTCGAAGAGTCAAAAGAAAGTTTATTTTAAATGAATATATAAATTTATAACAAAACCAGTTTTTTAAATCTATTTTAACGGGTAACCATATTATTACTCCCGTTTCTCTTTGACCCATCATATAATGTCGCCATAATTTTTTTATATTAAATAACGTCCTATATAACAGATATTTCATAACTTCGAGAATCGTTTGAACAACGTTTTGATGAATATATTAATTAAGTTTTCAATTTAAAATATTGATTATTATCAAAGTTATTGTACAAAATGTAAACTGGAGGAAGAAGTATAATACTACTTTCATTTCTACCAAATTTCGACAATTTGTATTCATTTACGTTTCGCTGTCTAAAATTCCTTCGAGGGGCCTTAGGAAAATTATGATTCAATTGCCGATATCCGTTATACGCGTTTCCCGTTAAAGCTGCCGCGGCGGAGTTTTCCCTTGGCTTTCTGTAATTACCTTCTAACGGATGGGAATAGATGACGTAGATGATACTAAAATGGATGGCCGCCGCGGAGCCGCGATGGAGCTAATCGTAAATATGGCGGGCCGCGAAACGAGGGCGGTATAATTGCGGCGATCGTCCGTATTTCAAAAACGATTAAGTCGGCGTGGTCGCATAATTCCGACAACAATGCCGCGCTAGATCTAATTCTTTTCCCGGGGATAATCCTGCCGAGATCGTTTTCCATTTAGAGACATTCCCCATTTATCTGCCTCACGACGATCTCCGAGGGATTTGCGGACTCGCGCACATTAGTGCACCGTCGGGTTTTTAGCGGGCGCAGCCAATGAAATATGTGCATCCTGCAATGTAATGGAACCTGTTCGCGCGAGCGAGCGAGCGAGCGAGCGAGCGCGCACGTTGACGACGACGACTCCCCGCGATGCACCGCAGTAATTAAGATTACTCCCCGTCCCGCCTCGCCGGAGAAAGAGGACGACGGCAAAAACTGTTATTTGCATAATTCCCAAAGTAATGCGCGTGTGCATCGCTTCGAGGATTTCGCCACCGGGCGAACTGAAAATGAGGAAAAAAAGGAGAGAGAGAGAGAGAGAGAGAAAAAAGAGGAAAGAGCTGCCAAGCGGCGATTCGCGTCGCGCAATATTTTTTATGTACATATACATGTACGAGCGCACCCTTCCTTTTTTATCGGCGAATATTTCCGTCACGCTCCCTTTCCGACGCTCAACGTGCAAATGTTTGGTCAACCGAAAGCTCGAGTTTTCGGAACGGCCGGGAAAACTCGGTTACGCGCGTTCTTGTAGGCGCGTTATCGTCGCGTTACGTATATTTGCGCGATGCATTCACACGTGACATCTGTATGCACGCATAAATATCCACGTAATGGAAAAGAAGACGCGATATAACTTACGCGATTTCATTACGAGATACGGACCGTAATAATTTCATACGCTCGCATTCGCTCTGTGGACGATTTATCTCCGATCATTGCATTTACAATTCCGCGACGCGAGAGGATGATGCATACGAAACGGTTGAAATTTCAACCGGTATTCAACGGGGGTACGCAAGGATGAGTCCGGGACTCGGCAGAAATATCGCGGAAAGTTTCGGAAAAGGGGCCTTATCTTACGGCTTGTCCATTTTCGGGCGAAAGCGCGCCTTCCGATCACCGGTCGATGTATTGGACGGTCGCGGAGATTGCACGTGGGACGATTTATCCGGGCCCGCTATCACGATTGTAATGATTGTAATTTACTTGTCACGAAAGAAAAAGAAGCGGGAAGCCTTACCGGCCGGATACCTCCCGAAATTACCGCTTTCGTCTCGAATAGAGCCGGAGGATCGGTGAATCCGAAGATAAAGCGCGACGGGGATAAATGAGCGCGATAAAGTTAGCAATCGTAACGATCGGGATGATTAGTAATTTAACCTGGCGCGCCTTGAACGTCGGGACTGCGCTCGGAAATGCTCACGAAGCGACGATTACGAACGGGCGGCCGCTTACACGTGCGAGAAACGTAGGAAAAATTGGCCGGGCTCGCGCGACAATGCCGCGAAGACAAATCGGTCATTTGGGAATGATGACGCGCGCGCGCTGCGCAACGATGCAAATCACACGTCGCATCTTTCAATACTCGGCACGTGTAATCATTAAACCGACTCATTTCCGCATAATCGCTCGTGATTGAGTTAACGAGCGTGGTTAATCACGATTTAATGATTCGCGTCCGACACGTCCTTCGCGCGAAAAATCGGCGCGACGCGGGAAGTCGGAAAGCGGCGCGAACGTAACGGATCGTAGTGATTTGTAAACGATGTAAATCGCGGCAGGAAATTCGCGCCGCACTGCGGCCGTATCTATCGGAATCACTGCCGTTTCCTGCGCGCTTGAAAGCCGCGTGCAGCCACGCCAGCCTCAAGTAAGTGACCCCCATATTTCTCGCTGCGCTTCCGCTCAAGTTGCCGCACCTTCCGTTAACGACGCTGTAAACATCGATAGATCTGCGTGTAATTGTCTCGTACGTTCTATCACTGGCTCACCGATACCGAAGCAATCGCGAGACAAACATTCGGCATTAGGGACCTTTAATATATCAAGCCGCTTACACACGCGGAAATAGTTTGGCTGAATTGAGCGGACGATGAACGAACCAAACGCGTTTTGATAGAAGGAAACGGAATTTCTGGAATTTCTTACAAAAGCCGAATTTGGATTATAAAAGTCTAGAAAACAATTTCTCGCGACGTAATTATTGCATGGCCCCTTAAAAAGCGCACGAATATGTATTCAAAAGTACACAAATATAACGTTAAATCCTCCACGTTAAAATGACACGAAATTTTAGTGAACCGTTTCTTAACACAACATGTTTTCCTGCGTATTGTGTAAAAATTGCAGAAAATACAACTAAGCTTCATTTGCGATCCGAAAGCTCCTCTGACCTCTTTATTTTAGAATAATCGTTCGATCATCTTCAACCGTTGCTTGCTTTTATTCAAAATCTAATTAATTTTTTGATCACACACGTGTCTAGCAATCTGTAACTCTCTCTCTCTATGCCTTTCTCGGTTAGTTATTAACAACTATCGATTGAATATTGCCCTCGATTGAATATGCCGAGTGTACGCACACGTACGCGCACACACGTGCACGCGTCACTGCACACTGCCCTCGAAGTTTTATATTCGTCGAAATTGAATAGCCGATTATAATATAACGGTCCACGTTCGATATCGTTCCGTATCGACTTTCTCTGTGCGGGCGTTAAACAAACCTAAAATATAGGTCACGGCCTATTAAACAAGTGTTCGATTACGTGAACGCGAAACTTCGGTAAACTGCATTTACGGTGCGGCCGAACTCGTGGCTCACGGCACAGCCGCTAGGTTCGGCTAGATTGCGCGCTTTTCACATTTTTCTCCTCTTCCTTTTTTTTCTCCTTTTCCTCGCTGGTTTCCCGGAGCGTCTCAATAAATGTTCGCGATCGGATTCCGACGCCGCGTTAAAACATTTTCAACAATTCGCGGAATGCTTCGCGTTTCCGCGCGAAGGAAATCTCCCGCGGCTCCCATACATCTTTTACGCGCCCGGCGAAATCCAGTATCGTCGTATTCGCACGTGCATTTTTCTTTTCCGCAGGCATGCCGCGGGGCGCAACTGGACAAAGGGGTGAAAATTTTTCATGAGACAGATAGCAAGAAGACTATGTACAGCATCCCCGCCTATGCAGATATTATGGTCGCGTACTCCACTTACGACGGTAGGTGTGCCGCGTGTCCTCTACACACGTTTAAATGCACGTGTGCACGAGGCTTTCTGCGTGTACAGGAGGCTCCAGAATTATCGTTCATCGTTTATTATCCTTCTCCCCCCTTGTGTGTACCGTTCTACGAGGAAATGATTCAACCAAAGCACTTGTAACGCAAATACTGTCCGCTAATTTATCGTACGAAAGTCCGCCAAAGGAAGAGGCAAAGAGAAATATCCTCCCTCTTTCTTTGTAGATATTTGAGGATTAAAAGGATTAGACAATATTTCTCCACGTCACTGTGTTTGCCGCGAGGTATCATATCATACTGTGTTCGCGTAAAAATGAACAATTCAACGTGAAAATGCGAACGTTATATTGACGTTATTGATAGCAGTATTTTCCTCGTTTTTTTTTTATTTCTTTCCTTGACATCCACTGATTTTGCTTCGTTCGTTCACTTGTTTTAGAGCCGTCTAAAATCTAAGAGAGATGAACGATAGTTCTGAAGCAGCCTGTACGTATGCGCAAGTGCATCCGGTAAGTGCTGTCGCACACAAGTGCGCGTGTAAGCTCCTTATTTCAAACAGCCCGTCCCGAGATAATGCGGAGAATCTGAACGAAAGAGGCGCTTCAGAATGGTGTGACGAAGACTTATAGGAATGTCGGATATAAGGTGCACTCTCGATTATCCGCGTGTATGTGTGTGCCCACGGATAATCTGACTGACGAATATATTATCCGGAAGTGATACTTCATTTAATTTTGCGAAGTAAGAAAGGGAAATGCTCGTTGCAGGAGTTCAAAGAGAGCTCGATACTCGAAAGTACATCGCGGCTTTGAAGAATAATAAAAGTTGACTAATGACACACAAAGTGACATTCGACGTCTAGAGCCCGCATAAAAATGTTCTGAGACCTGATTGGAATCTATTTGGATTTCCTAAAGAATAATGGATTCTGATTGGGAAATCTATAAAAATTCGAGTTAGAGGTGTAACGTTCCAGAAGTGCGAAACCCAGATATATTCCATTTGCTCTGCTCAACGTTTGCCTAAAGTTTTCTTATAATTGGGATAAGAATGAGATTCCTAATTGGTATCGCAATATGTTACATTTATTTGGGATAAGTTTGAATAATCTAATCAGAATCTATGCTATGTTTGGGAATGTTTGGGAAATTTCCATACGGGATGGAGAAAAATAATTTTGCTGTTGTAGCAAAACCACATCGTTATTACTGTATATTTGTTGCGATAGTAATAAAATTTAGTTGGCTTAATCAAATTAGCGAATTATTCGTGATTAGACTGGAAACGGTTTTGTTGCCAGGATAGAAAACACTTTGCTGAGTGAATTTGTACTTAGGGCATGTCAGTTTGTCATTAGAAGAAAGTATTGTTTTCTTAGATTTTTCAATTTTTTTTTTTCATACTGCAAAATAATTTGTACACTCAACAAAATAATTCAGCGAATTGCAATTAGTATTAAAACAAAGATCCTTTGGCTGTCGATATAATAACTGACAGATTTCGTTTCGAAAGTATAAAATTTGTTAGACCAGCAAATTATTTTTCTTCTGAATAATTTCAAACAATGATTTATTTGTGATGTGAAGTAACAAAGAGATTCTTCATATAGATCTCGTTGCAGGCATCGTTATTAATTACTATTGTCAATGATGATGATGAATCAATCGACGCGCGAAACGTTCGATTGATTTGTATCGCCATATGTAGCGTTATGATTGAAGCACGGAAGCCTCAGCAAATTGATGAACAATGTTGAATTGACGTGAGTAATCGAGAATACGTCGCGGTCGAAAAACTAATGAACGGATATCGCGTGTGAATAGAGGTATGCAAATAACAAACGATCTCGCATGCGATGTTAGCTAATGAGACGTTTACTCGAACTTCAAGCCTGCAAGTACTGTCGTTAATATGTATGCCGTACATATAATATTAGCGGAATTTGCAAGGATATATGATCAAACGTTCTCATCAAAGACTTGCTCGTTAATATGCGACGTGGAATCTGCGGGCGAAATTACTCCGAAAGTCAATTATTCTCCAAAGATACTAACACTTGTAAAGCGAGGATCTTTGATATAAACTATTCAAGATAATTTTCCAAACTATTTTCTTGAAACTTTCAAGTAGTTGGTTCTTAGAGTGGATTATCAGTAACGATATTAAGGACCCTTCAGAAGTTTATTATTTAATGAAAGAAAATATTTATCTACAACTATATTTAACTATTTAAATAATAAATGTTAATTTTGAAATAAATATAAACGCCATGTTAACAAACGCAAAGATGTTATTTATTCTTTATTTTTTATTTTTCATATCACTGCTTTATTTATATATCAATTGAGCTAATAGAGATGCACACATAATAGAAAGTAGTATGTAAATATATATATGCATATTTAATATATACACATTTCCCCCGCCCGACGCGTCTGAATGTTAAAAAGTTTCTTGCGTAAGTGTACAAAGAGGGAGTCTCAAATTTAAGAATCGATTAAAACGATACCTGATGTGTCGAAATTTTAATATGTAGTTACAGCAGATAATTAGATTTGCCGATCGAAGCTTTACCGTGCAAAGATCGTGCTGAAATATTGTGCGTCGCAGAGATCCGCGTCGTTAAATTTAATTCATTATACGACATGACCTCACACGTCACATATCATTTCCTAGCACCCTCGCCCTCCTTACCACGTATTGTATTCCTCGAGCAGCCGACGGCACTCGAATTCCCGCTGATAATTGCATTGAAATGCATTTCAGGCCAGTTTTCATACTCCACCGAGCAGAAAGTATTAAGTATTACGCGGAGACGTATACTCGACTAAACAATAAACGGATATAGCGCATGAGAGTCGGGGGCGGTTCTTCTCATGTGTCCGAGTTTCTATAGCGTCGTAAGCTGCTTATTTTGAATAATACAGACTTCACGGACGCGTAACAGCGCTCGCACTCACGCGCGCGCCCGTGATGTATAGGTGATCCACGTCGATTTCTCGATTACACCATACCTCCTCGCCTTCCTCCCGCCCCTTTCATCGCGACCGAAACTCGTTAATGAATGTAAACCAATATTATTTGCAATTCAATACCGCCGGTATGAGCCGGTTGTACTGTGCAATTTCAAATTATTATATCAGTCATTGCCGATATTTGATTGCTATTTGGAACCGAGCGGCGATTCGATAATTTCCCGTAAACCTAAATCACACGCTTTCAGACACGGTGTGTTCTCGATGGTAATCGACAATCATAATAAAAGAAAGCCGACGTCGGCTAGAATCCGCGGACGGCATTTCTTGAGATCATTCGTCGCGAAAACTAAAGTTTACGACAGTTGTCGATGTTTCCGTTTTGAAGGAAAACGCAACGGATCCGATCTAAATTTAAGGAAACTAGCGTTGGTGACATTGCTGCTCCTATAAATGGTATGTCGTAATTTTTATTATAGGATGAAAACGCTACGATCGTGCGAGCAACGGTTATCTCTATAAAACTGCGTGCTGAAAACGCGCACCGAATAACCGACGTTATTGTTAGCCCGGCTCGTCCGGCATCGATGACCGCGCCCGACCCTGCATCGCGCGTAAACTTTCGCGCGATTTCCACCTGCATGCAAACAGTCGACCTGTTGTCGCTAATGGCGTGCGAGGATTTGTGTTGACATCGGTGCACGCCGACGCGGCGTTACAACAACGCGGCGTCTAGCGAGAACGTCAATCAGTCAACCGACAAATCGATACACTCGCGCTTGTAATGCCGGCTCGAGTATCGAAGTGAGTCTGGCATATAATCTAAATACGATTACCCTTCCTCGACCGCGCACACGTACACACGCACCGACACGCAGACACGCGTAGAATGTTCAAAGTACCCCGCGGACGCCCCCCTCCGTCGCGGCGATTTTTCTTCGCGGAAATTTGTTTAAACGCCACCTTTTGCAACGGGGTTTCCGATATTTAGTTGCAACATTTTCAATAACTCTTTAACGAATCGCGAGATTGAATCTGCATTAATTACATGCCAAATATCCTAAGTAATTAATTTAATTCCGCCGAAGTAGGACTTGTTCCGATTAAAATGAAGCAAAATGTACAAGCGTAAAGCAACTGTTCCTCCTCCCATCTTTAATGTTTGTCTTTCACGTTAAAGGGTCGTCGTAGTCGTGAAGTGAGGGCAAAATCACCCAATTTGAATTCATAGAAACGAATCCTTTCTTTGTATACGAAACGACAAAATTTCGCAGCGCGGTCGCCTCCGCAGCGAAACCAGCTGCATTGTATGAAATATGTAGAGGGTACCGTGCAATGAATCGAAATAAACTATGAATTGCACCGAAAGCGTATTTATGGTGTGTATGTTTCGAGAAGGGAAAATCGATGTTTTTAAAGCATCGCGCGGGTGTGAAGCGGCGCACCGATACTCACGATTTATTAACATTACCATCGGAAACGAAGGAGCATTCAAATGAAAATGAACACGTACTATTCTAAGGTAACCGATACAAAACAAATATTGGCGGGGACAAGAAAAATTCCACCGTCTGAAATTGGACATCGTCCAAGCTCGCCCAAACGGCTATTTTAGGGCCATTCGGGCTGTTCCTGGCCGAGTTTCCATGCCGTGATACATATTTTTTTTTGTCTCTATGTGTCTCTCTCCGTCTTTTTCTCTCCCTCTCGGCGCTTTCCATACATTAGACCGACGTAAAAGTGCCCTCGTGTAAATTCTCTGCCACCTCTATATCTCTTTCGCACGGTGAACGACGAATTGACATTGTCCCGCGACAAATTCACTCGTAGCGATTGTTTATCAGGGATTGCTATATAGAGAAAGGTAGAGAATTACAATATTAATTCAACAAATAATAATCAGCAAAATATTAATTGGGGTAAATCTGTATAATTGCAAGAGCGAATTGAATATGATACCGCAGCGTTCGCGATGACGATGATATTTAGGGTTGTTATTTCTGAAT